TCCAATAGCTTTTCCTTAATTTTAATCATTCTTTTTTAGAGAATTTTGATAAAACCATCATTTTCCCCCCCGTGATAAACTCTTCTGCTATTGATAATCTGTGTAAGATAGACAAATAAAGCAGTTTCAGAAGTGATACCTCCCTCAAGAGGTTCTGTTTCTGATTAGAGTTTTGCACTTCTCTCCTGCACCAACCTTATTGCTATAGAAGTTAAAGCCTAGCCAATTCTTATCCCTTCTTGCCTTCTTATTAATAATTCCACCTCAGGAAGCACATCTCTTCTAAAGCAAAATAATAAATAAAAATATGAAGGAAATAAAGTTTTATAAATATCAATCTCATAACCTATACAATAAGTCTTTACACTTGTTCTGTAGCAGTGTTGGGCTACCTGTGGATCGTGGACCCTCTAGCTGCCACCTTCCCTATGCATCTCTTATGTACCTGGACACAGGAGCCCTGCATTACCTTTTCGTCCCTCTTTCCTCCCAGCACTTTCAGAGAAGCTGCAAATTGCCTGATTCAAGCTCTGTCTCCATTCCTCCCTCTCAAGCTGGAAGGCCAGGAATCAGGTGTTTGCAAGTGTTACATCTCTGGGAGAGAGGGGGAGGAGAGAGTACTGCAGAGCGAATCACGCAGCAATTCACATGCTCTGAAAGGGCTGAGAGGGAGGGGGGAAAAGCAGGTAAGTGCAGGACTCTGGATAACGAGAGGCATGTGGGAGAGAAGAGAAAACAAAAAGGGACCAACGAGACACAAGTGGAACTCCAGTGGGCTGTGGGCTGCTGTGGCCCACTGAGATGAAGGAGGGCCACTAATGTGGCCCACCCACTATTCCTGGTTGCCTATCCCTGTTCTGTTATAGCATGTAGGGATTTGGAGAAAGCAAAGGAAGTTAGATAAATATTTAGATGTTGATACTATTTCCACTAGGCAAAGTGAAGAAAAAATTAACAGTTGTGAATGCCAGGTCTGTTAAATATCAAATTCAGTTCCACCTTGAGAGAATTTTTGGCTCCACTCAATGCTCAAAGATAAGAAATTTCTAATAAAGTCAGAAGTTCAAATGTAGGCAGGGGAAAGCCTGACAACCTTTCTACCAGAAAAACAGCACTACAGTCAGTTTTCAGCTTGCCACACTGCACGTCTTAGGAGGAAAACTGTGTTCAATTTTTTATTCTTTTTTGTGTTTCTTGCTCCTGTAGGCATTTCTCTGTTACAAGAGACACAAATGATAGTCCAGGGCAGGTAAATGTTTGCAGGCAAGATATGAGAATGTAAAATGCCAACAAATTCAAAGTTAAGATAATATTTCATTAAAGCTGTTTTGCCTCCTGTTGCAACCTTCCCATATGAACCTGGCGTGATCTACTAATAGGAGATAGTTTATAAAGAACAAGAATCTGTTCAGCTCAGGAAATAGGATTAAAACCATTCTGGAACAGATAAATACTATATTTGAATTTGCCAGGTCTTGCTTACAGACAATCCCCTAACCTGAAACATATTCTGATAACCATGCCACACAACCACATCATAAGCCTCCAGGAACCCAGCCCTGCAACCAAAAAAGATGCCAACTCTGCCCACATATCTACACTGACGAATTCATCACTGAAGCAAACAACATAAACCACAAAATCAAAGGGTCATTTGACTACACATCTAGTAATTTGATCTATGCCACCAAATGCCAACAGTGCCCCACTACACTATATACAAGAAGAACTGGATGATCTCCGCAGGAAAGAATCAATGGACACGAATCAGATATATGTAAAGGGAACACACAGAAGCCTTTTGGTGAACATTTCTGCTTGCCTAACCAAAGTTTAACAGACCTGCAGGCGGCTGTCTTGTCACAGGGCAGCTCCACAAGCCAGATTCATAGGGAAGGACTGGCATCCCAGCACATCCACAAATTCAATTCAAATGCTAATGGACTCAATCGTGACATAGGCTGGCTAGGACACTACCTACTTAATAACCACTGAAGGTGCTATCAGTTCTCTGAGTGGTATCCTTCCTGTCTTAGCAATCTATCTATTTACTTTGATTTTTATCTGCTTAGGTTTAAGTCCCCATTCTTCAGATACTTAATGATACTCTGTCTCATACCCCCGTCCTTTTTTCTTTTTCTCCCCCTCTCCTATTTATTTCGAGTTTTCATATCCCCTACTCAGAACTCCGGTCATCTGAAGAAGTGGGCTGTGCCCACGAAAGCTCACGATACCATCTACTTGTTTTATTAGTCTATAAAGTGCTTCCAGACCATTTGTTGTTTTTTTTCTGTAACAGACTAACTCAGCTACCCTCTGAAGCTCCTTCAATAAAGATTCAGCATAGCTCAAACGCCATTCTGTGTGATTGGCAGAAACCATTAGAGCACTGACAATATGAATAATAGAATCATAGAATACTAGGACTGGAAGGGACCTCGAGAGGTCATCGTGTCCAGTCCCCTGCCCTCGTGGCAGGACCAAATACTGTCTAGACCATCCCTGATAGACATTTATCTAACCTACTCGTAAATATCTCCAGAGAGGAAGATTCCACAACCTCCCCGGGCAATTTATGCCAGTGTTTGACTACCCTGATGGTTAGGAACTTTTTACACATGAAGTAGCTGCAATAGTGAGCCTGCAGAAATGACTAGGAAATCAGCATATAAAAATTACACACATGGACACCCACACACAATAATGAAAAGATTGGGACTGTTTAATTTAGAGAGAAGATAAATAAGAGTACATAACAGAGGTACACACAATTAATTAATGTGATATGGAAAGTAAATCAAAATCACCTATTACACTTCCTCATAATACAAGACTAAGGAGGTATTTAATTAAACTGAAAAATAAATTTAGAACTGATAAAACAAATCACTTTTGTTAAAGAATACATAATTAACCTGCAGATCTCTCTCTCTCTTTCACACATACACAACGGATTCTCCATATGAAGTGAAAATTCCAAAAGCTCCTGAGTGACTTCAGCCAGACAGACGCCTTTGTATCACTCCCAAAAATATTACCTAGTACTTTTCCTAGCACTATTCCCCATTTTAGGCATACGGATTATCTGTGAAGCCTTTACGATTTCTAAAACTTGGTTTGGAAGGAAAACCAAGCACTAAAACGACCCCCAGTTTTCATAGCCTGTGTTCTGTGATTCCCTGCAGAAGCCACTTAGGATCATCAGAAAGTTACACTCCATTTAATTAAATTAGTCCAATGGAGTTATC